TACTATATTAATATATCATTATATTTTATATATTTTTAAAAATAAAAAATGGTGTAAATACTGAATTTGCTAGTTGAAATTAAGGAGTGATTCTGATTTCACTGTTGAAACAATGCATGAATAGCAAGCTGGATTTCTAAAGCTCCTTTTTCTTCTTGTAATTTCTTTCCTTAAATACTATGATAAATACTATGATTATAAATACTTAAGTACTATATTTGTATCTGGAAAACAAATGTACAGAAACAGAAAAGCCTGAGGAACTCTTCTTGTGTACAAGAATCACGGACATAAACCACATCCGTCACGGAGAGCTCCATCCTGAGGTTCCTCTCTGCTAAGGGGGGAAAAGAAAAATGTCTCTTTCTCCATAACGTGGAGATAAATCTCATTGTCATGCTTGGGAGGGAGCTGGGCAGGGTGTGGAGCTGCATTTCAGGGTGACCTGATGGCGTTGGCCTCAGTGCACCCTGACAGCTCACCAAACCCTTGGCTGTGGGAAGAAGATTACCGTCTAGGCTCAGTGCCCATACATCACTACTGCCAGTCACGTGCCCTGGCCTTGAACTGCCTGCATGGAGTGGCTGATCAGCTCTGCCCTGGCTGGCTCTTGTTTCCCAGCACCATTAATGTCCCCACAGCAGCAGCCCAAGAGTGAAGGTTTTTAAGTAGGCCCCAGTTTCATGTGTGTAAAGCATTGATTGTTTTGACTACTTGGGACTCATGTGGTGCTCAACCAGTCAGGGTGACTTTCTTCCCTCCCCACCCTTCTATGGCTGTTGAAATAGGAGGAGTAAACAACTTCAGCAAGTGGGAAGGAGGTGAATCTTAGTGGCTATCTGTTTACTTGGCTCTGTTCTCTCCTTGTAGCTGTTTGCTTTGCAGGCTGAATCCTCCCGCATGAAGAAAGAGGAACTGGAGGTGGAACAAGCAGTTGTGCATCACAAGTTGCCTGCATATGTGGCCAACATGGATCGACTAGGGGACTCTGAGCTGTGAGTGCCTGCAGGGGAGGAGCTGGGGACAGGCTCTGCTGCTTTTATGGGTTAGGGAGGCTCCTGGAAGGACATTTCCTCATTCCCTGGCCTAGGAATCAATGCAGAAAGACATCCAGGCAGAAGTTCTGTTGGCCTAAGTGGGTTTAATGGGGAATTCAAGACGGACGTCTCTCCCGCCATTTGGGAGAGAGATTCTTGCCAATCAGTGAGAGCCCAAGCACACATGGAAGTGATTCGGCTCTGCTCTCTGCGTTACACCAAGGTGTTCTGGGCAGCCAGGGCACTGGTAGCAATGCAATACCCTGCAGTGTTGCCCAAATGAAGTGGATTGTCTTCTGGCTTCTGTTTACTGTAGTGCCTGCAGTGCAGTAGGTGGGTGCCCTGTGTTTTGTAGACACTGTTACTGTATGAGCCAAAGGGGTCATTGTTATGCAGAGATGCTTTCTTGCTTTTGTGAAGGCAAAGTAGTTTCTGTTCTGCAAGGCTCAGTTATGCACAGAATTCCCCATAAACTTGCTGCAGTTAGTTTGCTTTATGGCTGTATCTATTGAATTCCTATCTGTGGGAATTAGGCAACATACACAGTGGTACACCTTGTTTACCTGTTACTTAAACTCTTATTTTTTCCCCCAGTAGAGTGTCATGCAAAGCAAGTCTGTGTTTGAATTCGTTGTCTTAGAGAGTTGGTTTTTTTTTTTTTTCTTGCTTTAAAAGGATCTGAAAACAAATGTAGCTTAGACATGAGGTACTAATAACACTGCTGGGGCTTTTACGTTCTCATGTGTTTCTTTCACTTCTATTCAGACAGGAGGAGGATTGATCAAATTATCCTGCTGACAGTGACAAATAGAAGTTGTAGCAGAGGCTGCACACAAAACCTTTGTTTTAGTCTAAAAGTTGTCTGATTAAATAGACTTCAGTGTCTGGTGAACTATCTTGATAACTGCTCTGTACAGGACCTGCTACAGAGTTTAACTGGAGATTATTTTTTTTTTGTTTAATTATTCTGTGTGGAAAGTTCATCTGCACATGTCGGGGAGTGACGTGAGGGAATGGATAATTTATTCCCATATTAATTTTTGTCCATTTGTATTAGAAAAGCTTGCCTTAGAAGTGACATTTCTTGTGTGTGCTACTTGTCTCTTACTCCGGGGGCCAGTTCTGGTCTCTGCTCACCCAAAGCCCAACTTTGATAGAACAGTTCCTTCCTAGAAGATAGACGCAGTGAAGATGATTGTATTCCCCTTCCCCCTTGGTGCTGCTCTTCTCTCGGAGGAAGCTGTAGCAGGGTAAGGTCAGACAGTTATGTTCTGGGAAGCAGCTGCTGCTTCTGGCATCGTGGGCTGAGGGAAGCGTGTGTAATCATAAAAATGGACCTAAGCTTTCTAATTTTCTTTGGGTCCAGTTTTTGAGATATCGAGGGCCTGTGCTTTAAAATTGCTGAACATGACTTGCTGAATATCTAGGGGTGTTCAGTGAAACACTGGATACTGAATGCCTCTCGAAGTAGGTCTGTTTTATGCCTTGATTTGGGAATCCCAGCTGAATAGGTTCTTTGGACATCTGCCTTTTGCCCCTGCCTTTCCCTTAAGGTCTTTGTAAACTAACCAGATGGAGTGGGAGGAGCTTGATGTGGCCCTACAGGGGATTCAGCAACAGGTGAGCCCACTGAGCGGTGGCATCTCTGAGAAGTGAGCTTTGGTTACAGTAATTATAATCTGCTCCAGGCACTAACAGGATGTTTTAAAACAGTTTTTTAATGCATAGTAGTCCAACGGCTTGAAATGGAACATCTGTCCTCCAGTGGTTCAAACAGCTGGCACTTTGCTTGTTGGGTGGTCTTTAGTCAGGTTGTCTGGCTGCACTTTCATATTCTGTTTGGTGTTGTTTGTTTTTTTTATTAGTGATATGACCTGCAGCCAGAGGAGTACTGCACATTCTCTTCAGTCCCGGGGAGGCTTTCTGTCCTCTTTTCTTTCCCAAAGTAAAAAGGGCCCTTCCAGACCATCCCATCCAGGTGGGGCTTCTCCAACACAGACTGGCAGTATGCTGCTAGGGAAGAAAGAACCAACAAATCACCAGGTAATTCTCAACTGTGTGTGTTGGAAGGTGCTCAGTATCCAAGGAGTTAACTTGCGGCACAGCACTGCTCCAAGCTTTTGCTTCCACCTGAAAAAATGAAATGTCCTTTCTTTCCTTGCAAGTGCATGCTGGGCCTAAATGCAGCACAAGAACAGCTGCTGTTATCTGGGGGCTTGTGGAGCCCTTGCAGGTGCTTGGTTTCTTTGCCTCCTCTTTTGCTCTTTGTTCTGCAGCCTAGCACAAGTGTAACTTTGCCAAATCATTCCTCTGCCTTCCAGAGTGCCAAAGGAAAAGAAGGAACAGTGAGCTGTAAGGACGGGAAGGGCCACTTCAGTGGGTTAGTAGCAGGCGAGTCAAGTTCCCTGCAGCAGCGGCAGAAGCGCTTGCAAGAGCATGGGAAGGAAAGGAAGGAACTGCTGTCCAAAGGGACCTTCCAGGTACCGGGCAACACTACAGGGCTGGGAAGTGGAGGGTTGGTATTTCTGTAGGTTGTGCTAGGTTAAGCTTCTGAATTGCTACTTGGATCTACCTGTATCAAAGGTTAATCTCTGTAGTTAATCAGCTCTTTCCACACTTGGTTTATTTCTGTGTCCTTGGAAGGGAGTCGATACTGACATTTCAAATGGAAGAAGAGTTGTCTTTTGTCATGATCTTTTTAACAGCCTGGTCCTGGGGAGGGTATGTTTCATCCACCTTAATGGCTATGTTCAAATACTTTGTTATAATCCCCATTCCTTACTGGCAATGGGCTTGGCTCACCCACCCTGCCCAAGTGAGTTCTCTCCTGCGTGTTCTTATGCTGGTTTGTGCAAGCTCTGTGTGGGACAGATAAAAATTGATAGAAAGTTTTCCTGGATAAGAGTGGAAATAACCCTTTGTAGCAATGTTTGCTTTTCAGATTTTTTGCACTGTATGTTGCAGTTTTGCCTGGGGATGGTGCTGTGCTTTCTAATCTAATGAAATAATAAAACTGTGTCCTGGATTTTAACTGCTGAAGGTCAGCAGACTACTTCTGTTCACCTGTGTATCTGGCTTTCAACAGCCATGAGGTCAAAGGAAACAGAGCACAGGAGGAGTGATGGCAGTATCTCAGCTGTGTTTATTTTGGCTGTATAAGACACTCTGCCTTGAGGGAGAGACAGTGCTGAGGGACTGTTGCCTGTCAGCCAGTATATGTGGCTGTTCTGTGTGTGGGAGTGCTGCTTTAGAGAGGAGATGTTGCTCCACCACTGAGCATTCAAGGTTATGAAAGAACTTTTTTCTTCACATCTCATCTAAAACATTTTCATTAAATGCTGGTCAGAAAATCGCAAAGCCTAGTTTCCCAATAAGTATCCTTTGACTTGCCTTTTTCTGTGATGTTCCATGTTAAGGCAGTGTTTTCATGGCTTTGTGAAAGTTGCTTCTGGTGCTCTTCAGGAAGCTGATACTATTTAGCTTTCTGTTGCTCTCAACACGTGTGAGCAAAAAGGAAACTGAAAGGCATCACTCTTTCTTTCATATAAGTGTCAGTCATCAGTTGTTATCTCCCCACATTGACTAAGACAGAGAGGCATTCTTGGATTTATTTCCCAATCTCTTCCAGCTTTGTGATCTCTTGACTATTTGATTATGCAATGTTTGGCCCGTTGCTCACAATGTGAAGCTACTATAAATAAAGCGCGTATGTGTGAGGGAGCAGGGATTCAAACCCATCAATACCAATACCATTTTGGGGCATTTAATCTTCAGAGGATGGTTTAGCAAGGAATGCTTGCAGATATTTTACTGGCTTGTATGCTGTGTCTGCCTCTTGATCAGCTTCTGGTGGCAAGGGAAGACTAAGCTGCTTTCAAACACTTCTGTGTGCTGTAGTGCAGAGCTTGTCTCATTCAGATACCTTCACCTCTAAAACTCCATTTGTTCTGTTTGCCCTGTCAAATTGGGTTTTAAGCTTTTGGACTCATGTGTTGACTCTGCTGTTGTCATCATTCAGTTGGCTGCAGTGGTTGCCTCAGTGTGCACAGACTAAATCTTTGACAGACGAGGATAATCCATCCACTGGGAGACAATATCCAACAAGATTTTTTGTGCAGGTTCACTGAACTGCGTATTATACAGATTTAACTTAGGTTGCTGAATGCAAGAATTTCTTGGAATATGTTGATTTGCTTGTGAATCTGTGCTTTAGTGGCATCAAAATAGGCCTCTGATGTCAGCTGAGATATGCCAAACAGAGATGTTGTGGTTCCTTTAATTCTTACAGGAAAATGTATGGCTGGGCACATGGAGGGGGATATAAAGGACTCTACAACCAAGGAGGCCATATTAAGTGGTGCAATTGTGCAACACACTATCCTTGTGCTCAGAAAAGTCCCTGGCAGAGGGGATGTTGAGCTGATAATGCTTCTGTTTCGGTGTTTTTTTCTCCCAGCAGACTGGGGTGGCTGAGGAGCTTGATCTGGAGCTGCTGCTTCCTTGTGTTTTACACAGGATTTCTTCCTTCAGGGCCAAAGTGCTGAGAAGAAAATGGATGTCAGCACAGCTGAGACAGAGCCATGCTCAGAGCCGCATGCTGAGCAAGCGGAGACTTCAACCAGAATGCCTGCCAGCAGTGCAGAGGCCGTGGGTGTCCGGCAGGAGCAGCCTTTCATCGTCCTGAGCCAGGAGGAATATGGGGAGCACCATTCATCCATCATGTACTGCAGGTAATGGACTGGCCGAAGAGAGCTTTCACGTAGAAGCCTCTGTAGAGGACCAGCTGTGTCTGGCCTCTTTCTCCCAGCCTCTGTTCTTTCCAGCACATTGTGCATGTACTCTTGGTTGTAGGGCAGTCAAGTTGGTGTGACTGAAAATAGCCTGTAGCTTGTGCAGTGGGAATAGACAGATATCTTTGTGATTGGGAGATGCCTGCCAGGAAGAAATTCCCTGGGAAAGCAGGATGGTATTGCTTAAGGGTGTTATGCTTTGCCTGTGGAGCTTGGTGTGCTTCATTGTCCTGGTTATCGTGGACTGAACAGGAAATGGTGCAAGGAAGTTCTGATTCCTGCAGAAGGAATTGGTATGTGGCCAGGAGAGGAAGAGTTACTGGGATATCTACTTGCATCCAAGAACTTTAGAGATAAAAATATCCAATCAGTTTCCTTCTGCACATAGGGTTGATTGTTCTGGACGGAGGGTGGCCAGCTTGGATGTGGATGGGGTCATCAAAGTCTGGTCTTTCAACCCTATAATGCAAACAAAAGCTTCATCCATTTCCAAATCTCCGTTGCTGTCTCTGGAATGGGCGACCAAGCGTGATCGGCTGGTGAGTAGTCTGTGTGTGGAGGCTCAAGAGTCACAGCAGATGATTTGAGGCTGTGTTGTATGTGTTGCACATTAACTTCTAGACAGCTGCATTGTGGATAAGATCAGAGCAGCAAGTTAGTTTCTGCTTTAGTGGGACATGGGGAACTGAAGCCTGTAGTGTCTAAAAAAAACTAGAGTGGGGAGTGTGCTCTCTGTATTGAGCAAGGAATTCACCCCTGGTTGCCCTTAGACAAAAGTTCCCAAGCTGCAGTGTGGGTACAGCTCCAGGATGGAATTAGATCCTTTAAGAGAAGTGCCTCTCTTCAGGCAGAGCAGGGAGCCATCTGTAAAGGCAGGCAGAGGCAGCCTGGTACAACAGCCCATGGGAACCCTGCAGCAGGGAGCTGTGGAGCTTCACTCACACCCTAAGTCAGAAGTAGAGAAAGGAGAGCAGGGCTGAGGAGTGGGAATGTGGTGGTGTGCAGGTGTGAAAAGGGTTCCATGGCCAGTTTTATACTGGTGCCTTATGAGTTGGGGGTTGGTGTGTGCATAAGGAGCTCGGGGCTTGTTTAAAATATGACAGTTTAGATGTTTCCTATAGCACTTTTTCTCTAGTTCTGTTACTAGAGAGGAGCCTTAAATTGTATGCATTCTTCTGAGTCCTAGAACTGTTGCTTGTGTTTCATGCCTTCCCTTGGCGAAGAGACAGGCCTGTGTGAGAAGGCAGGCCTGCAACCGAGGAAATACTGTTCATGTTCTCGCACTGACCATGTGTTGCTACTAACTCCAAAATGCCACCTATGAAGAGCTGGTGCTACAGCTTGTCTCTTTCTTTTCTTTTGCCCTTAGAAAGGAAGTTGTCCATGCAGTTGTTCTGATGTTTCTTCTGCTTTGTGGAGTTTATTTCCTGCTTGCTGATAGAAATGTTCTCCTTTCTGAACTATATGGGGATTCAGTAGCAAATCAGTCTCTGAAGTGAGAAGGATCTGGCTTGCTTCATTGATAATGCATCCTTCCATGGTTTTACTTTTGATTTAAACTGTAGCATGACTGATACAGCATGTGTGAGCCCTTCTGAATGATTTCATTCTCCCCTGGATGAAAGGATGTGGCTTCTACTTGCTTTTCTCTTAAACTTAGGTTGTTAATTCTGTGTTATTTTTTCCTTGTTCCCCTAGATATTGAGACTCCACATATGTTTCGCATCCTATAATGTTGAGCCATACTCTAGAAAGTGGCTTTTACTCCATCTTGGTGCCTATCAGATCTTTTTCTCGCTGGAAAGCGGTGCTTTTTACTCTTGACTTATGTGGCTCTGGGGCAGTCCTGCTCAGCATGATAGGCACAGAAAGGCAGGATGTACCCTAATGGAGTGATGCTTAATTCAAATGCATAAATAGAAAAAAATTTACTCTGTGGTATTGATGGTTGTTGGACAGCATCATTGTACTCTGCACTCACACTCGTTCCATCTCCTCCTTGCTGGTTTCAAGCTATTGCTTGGCAGTGGGGTCGGGACAGTTCGTCTTTATGACACAGAAGCGAAGAAGAATCTCTGTGAAATCAGCATTGATGAAGACATGCCCAGGTAACTCTGGAATACTGATTTTTATATATAAATGTTGTTGATTTTGACCGTGAAAAGGTACGTGAAGTCTCAATGTTCCTGCTGTTTTCCTGCAATTGCAAGTCTATCTAGCCTTCATCCAGAGGGCAGTCCCTGTCTGAGCAGCATAAAACTGCTCAGTTAAACAAGAGACAAAATCTGCCTAAGCACACAAATCCTGTCCTTCTTTACAGTGCACCCTGTCTTGCAGGGTCTTAATGGGAAAGCTCATAGTTGAGTGGTGTTGCAGCTTGATGCAGCTGCTGGAGAAAGGTAGTTCAGCCTGTTTGCTGTGTTTCAGGATCCTCTCGCTTGCCTGCAGCCCAAGTGGTGCCTCCTTTGTCTGTTCTGCGGCAGCCCAGAGCCCCATCTCCCGCGTGGACTTCTCAGCAGTAAGCTCTGGGGGCAAAAGCATGAACCAAGTTCCTGGGAAGCTGCTGCTGTGGGACACTAAAACGATGAAGCAGCAGGTACTTGCTGGGTTTCATTCCTTTCTCAGTCTGCTTGTGAGAATGAGTGTCTTCTGTTTCAACATGTAAATTATGCTGACTTTCTTTTCAATACCCTTCTTTTTCCCCTTTCCTCCTCCCCTCTATCACACAGGATAAAAATGAATGGTATAAGTAGCTGCTGGGTTGGGGTGGGGTTTTTTGTTTTGTTGGTGTGCTGGTTTTTTTGAGGCATTCTTCAAAATGGTCCATAGCCTTGTTTCTGTCCTGCCTGCACAGTTTGTGACTGGAAATGTCCTAAGTAGATTGAATTATGTTTTGCTTAGGCTTTCTCCAGATGAAGTATATTGAAGGGTTTTCTTTGCTGCTATTTCCCTTGCCCTCCCTGTTTTTAAGTGAGGTGCTTCTTTCAGAGGTTTCATCTGATGTAGTCATCTCCGTTGTTTCAGTTAAGATGGGTCAGATTCTGGCAGGGAATCCTCGTCCCGTCCCTCACCTTTGCCTGTAAGAAATGCTGTCCCTGACATGTAAGAGAAAGCAACGTACTCAAGCTAATGCCTGCCAGAAGCTGGTTTTGCAGCCTTGAGGCCATGGCCAAGTAAGCTGTGGCTTGGCTGAGGTGAATTGTTGGTTTCGTGTCACAGTGAAATACAGCTGCCAACTTTGAAGTCTGTAGTGATGAGAGGTGTAGGGCTCCAAACTAGAGTTCTTGTGACTAGATACCGTCTTTCCTCCCTCCCCTGGAGATTAACTCCTCAGCACCCCCAGCTCTGTTTCATGGCATTAATGCAGACTTTCCCTTCCAGCTGCAGTTCTCCCTGGAGCCTGAGCCCATTGCTATTAACTGCACAGCCTTCAACCACAATGGCAACCTGCTGGTCACTGGGGCTGCAGACGGGATTGTTCGTCTCTTTGGTACGGCAGAAAAGGACCTGGGGGTATTGGTCAATAGCTGGCTGAACATGAGCCAGCAGTGTGCCCAGGTGGCCAAGAAGGCCAACAGCATCCTGGCCTGTATCAGAAATAGTGTGGCCAGCAGGGGTAGGGAGGTGATCGTGCCCCTGTACTTGGCACTGCTGAGGCTGAACCTCGAATGGCACTTGGAGCCCAGGGGGGTCTCAGCCAAATGGAACGGACCTTTAAGATCATCAAGTCCGACTGTTAACCCAGCACTGCCAAGCCCACCACTAAACCCTGTCCCTAAGCACCACATCTACATGTCTTCTAAATACCTCCAGGGATGGTGACCTGGGGAGACCTTGTTGCCCTCTACAGCTGCCTGGAAGGAGGTTGTAGTGAGGTGGGGGTCGGTCTGTTCTCCCAAGTAACAAGTGATAGGACAAGAGTAAACGGTCTCAAGGTGTGCCGGGGAGGTTTAGATTGGACACTAGGAAAAATTGCTTTCACCAAAAGGGTTGTTAAGCAGTGGAACAGGCTGCCCAGGGAAGTGGTGGAGTCACCATCCCTGGAGGTATTTATAAGACATGTAGACATGGTGCTTAGGGACATGGTTTAGTGGTGGACTTGGCAGTGCTGGGTTAACAGCTGGACTCCAATCTTAAAGGTCTTTTCCAACCTAAACATTTCTATGAAATGGGGCAGTGAGGTGGCCCCTCAGTGTCCCCAGCTGGCTGCCCCTAGCAACCTGCTGCCAGCAGGAAGGCAGCTGTGGGACATGCCTGAACACCAAGGTGGAAGCTATTTTCTGTCCTCCGCAATAGCTCTCAGAAGTGAATTGACATAAACTTTCTCTTGGAGCCGTTGGCTGGAGACCCCGGTAGTGCTGCTGGATTTGTTGCTTCCCTCCTGAGGAGCAGAGTTAACTTGCCCTTGAGCCATGTAGCAGTACCAGTGCCAGAGGCTGTCTTGAGGAAAGGAATTAATGTGTGACCTTCCAGTTGGAGGCAAGGGCTTCACATCAGTCCTTCTTCCCTGAGCAATTTCTTTCTCAGGTTTTGTCCTCTTCAGCCTGTCCTTGTGATAAAGGCAGTTCAGGCTTCCCTTTTCTGGGAATGAGGGATCTGCTTCTGGCCCGGATGCTGAGCTGAGGCTGCAGTCCCAGGTCTGTGGGAGGACAGAGCTGGCAGCAGCTGTGAGGGTGGACAGGATATCAAGGGGAGGAGAAGAGGAAAGGTGGCAGTGGGGCTTGGATGCAGAATGCCTTACGTTTGACAGTGAGCATGTGAGTAGCCCTGTAAAGCTGGAAGAAGAGCTGACTAGTTACAGGCAATGATTTTTGTGGCCAATGTAAAGGTCGCATGCTGGAGAATAAGCACGTGGTGCTGGGAATGGAATGGGCTCGCCCAGACTGGTTTGGGCTGGGACAGAGACCTTATGAACGTAAAGGGCCTCTTCTCTTCACCTCAGCACTGTGTGAGTACAAGGAGTGTTCAGTACTGTTCTCCCCTCAGATATGCAGCAGCACGAATGCGCCATGAGCTGGAAGGCACACGATGGGGAAGTCTACTCTGTTGAGTTCAGCTATGATGAGAACACAGTCTACAGCATAGGCGAGGATGGCAAGGTAGGCTCTGGGTCACCTTCTAATGGTCAGCTGGTAGTGAGATCCCTTCTGGAGTCTTCTCCATATGGTGGAGACAGCAGTAAAAATACCCTCAAAATCTGGAGGATCTGCAGGCTGCTAACTCATCTTAAGTGTGCAGCACCACCCTGCTGCAGAGAGCTGCTGGAAAGCCTGTTAACAGCTGGAGCTGTCTCAGACCTTGTCTGCAAATCCTACAGTGACATCCCCTTCCTAGGGAATCCATGTGTAGATGACCTTTTTGTGCCCCTGAGATCACGTTAGAGATCTGGTATTCTATATCTTCCTATAATTTTCCTTGTCAGCAGCTCCATGTTGCTTGTAGTAAAGGCTTCAATTTCTGCAGTTCCACCGTCTTCAGCATAAGAGGTTGTGGCTCAGGGAGGGAGGCTGCCTGAAGGTGCCTTGGCTGATGAGAGTTAAGTGAATTCCCACCAGGATCCTGCACACAATGCGGAAGGGCACATAGGCAGCAGTGCTCATGGAAGGAGGAGGCATATGCTTGCCTGGATAGTAGTCACTCTTACAGCCTTGCAGCCTATGTTTTATAAATATAGCCACTTAGATACAGATGTCAAAATGTCATCTTCTGTTTGTGACAAATAGCCACTTTGCTTAAAAACGATGAACGGCCCTTCTACTTTTATCTCTGTCACTTTAACTATGGGCTTTTGTCTTCTCTTTTTGTCACTCTAGTTTATTCAGTGGAATATTCACAGAAGTGGCTTGAAGGTGTCAGAGTACGATCTTCCCAGCGAAGCTACAGGTCCTTTTGTTTTGTCCGGGTACAGTGGCTATAAGCAAGTCCAGTTCCCACGAGGAAGGCTTTTTGCTTTTGACTCTGAGGGCAACTATATGTTGACGTGTTCTTCTACTGGGGGAGTAATTTTTAAGGTAAGTCTGAGAAGCGATGGGAAGTACTCTTACACATCCATACAAGCTGCTCTTGTTACAAGGCTGAATCAGCAGCCACTGGAAGTTCTCAAGCAGCACCTACCCATCCCATTGTGGTGTTTAGCAAGTGTTTGAACCCTCTGTATGCAGCTAGAGTATGTGTGCTCCTACTTCTTAGGTGCAGCAGTTTTCCCTAGTGCCCAAGTGCCTAGGTCAAAGTTTTTTGGTTTGGTTGGTTTGTTTTTGTTTTTTTTTAATATATTGATGCATGCCAATTCAATGCAAAATGTGTGATTGACTGATGCTTACCTTTAATCTGCCTTGGTGCTTGCTGATGCTATGTTAATTCCAGCCTGATTGTCTCCTCTTAACTGGGTACTGAAATGAAATGGAAGGGTAAGGCTGAATGGTTCCAAGTACCCAAATTTCTGTGACACAGTAACAAGCGGTTACTGATGGCATGTTCCTTGCCTGCCTCCTCTGGAGTCAATAGCCATCAGTATAAGCCACTGCAAGGCAGATTAGATGGAATTTTTACCTTGCATCTGGGGCATTCAGAGCACCAGAGCTCTAACATGAGCTACAGCTTAGGCTTATGTGCTTCTCATCAGTGTGTGCTCTTAGCTTGCCTTGTTCAATTACTGCAGCTCAGCTGTTGTCAGAAGGTCAGCTGTTGTGAGACTGGAAATTTGCTTCCTCATGCATGCTACATACATCTCAACATCTCTAATTTTCTGCTTAATTATGTATGCTGATAGGGATATGGAGTTTGTAGCAGGCTTTGGCTTCTCCTGTGGGTGTGCTGCCCCACTGCAGAAACTTGCCTTCTTAAAATCTTGTGCTTTCCTTCTTTCAGTTAAATGGTGAGGAAAAGGTTCTGGAGAGCTGCCTTTCCCTGGGAGGACACCGAGCTCCTGTTGTCACAGTGGATTGGAGCACGGCCATGGACTGTGGGACCTGCCTCACTGCCTCTATGGATGGGAAGATTAAACTAACAACCTTACTGGCTCAA